TCACTCGATTCCCCTACTCGATTTGATTGGGATCGAGCAAGAGATCGAGTCCCCTAGTCGATTTGATTGGGATCGAGCAAGAGATCGATTCCCCGTCTTGTTCTCTGAGCTGATCGGTTGGCTTCCCTCGATCTTCCCATCGACTGTTTTTCTGGATCGACTGCTCTCAGGTCGATCTCCCACTCGATTTTGATGGGATCGAGTAGTTGATCGAGTGTCTGAGTCGTTCTCTTCTCTGGATCAACCAGTATCCTCGATCTTCTTGTCGATTGCTGACTTGGATCGAGCGAGATTCTCGATTGCCTGATCGATCTCAAGGTATTTGCCTTCATCTTCTAGCACAACCTTCCTTGAATCAAGGAGATTAACGTACTTCTGAGTCCTCTGATCCACGAAATCGTACTCTCCTCTCTCCTTAGTCAATGCCAGCTTCAAGTGATCCTCTTGTGCAAGCTCTTCTAGCAGTTCATCCGCCAAAGCATCCAACGTCTCTATGTAGAAAGCTTGCCCTTCTATGGTGGGTTTCTTCAGGACCTCGTTGATATCAAAATCCAGCCTTATATCCTTACCCAAGTGTAGAGCTATCTTCCTATTCTTGACATCGATGATTGCTCCAGCGGTTGCAAGGAATGGCCTTCCAAGAATGAGCGGATCCTTAGGTTCTTCATCCATTTCAAGCACAACGAAGTCTATAGGCACGTTCACACCACTGACCCTCACTGGTAAGTCCTTAGGCCCTTGATCCCGTGATTGCGAATGAAAACTTAAGTGATGATGAGTTGCACTCGCTCCTAAATGAGCTGAGAAAGTATAGGAAGGCCATTGGGTACTCTCTAAGTGACATCAAGGGCCTTTCACCAATGCTTTGCACTCATAGGATTCACTTGGATAATGAGAATGCCTCTTCTATAGAACACAAAAAGGCGTTTGAATCCTAATTTAAAGGAGGTTGTTAAGAAAGAGATTCTTAAGCTATTAGAGGCTGACATGATCGATCCCATAAGTGACAGCACGTGGGTTGCCCCTGTACACGTGGTGCCTAAGAAGGGAGGGATCACGGTCATTAAGAATGATAAAGATGAGCTTATACCTACTAGGACTATTACAGGACACCGTATGTGTATAGACTATAGGAAGCTTAATCTTGCTACTAGAAAGGATCATTTTCCCTTACCTTTTATTGATCAAATGCTTAAGAGGCTTGCTAATCATCCTTACTATTGCTTTCTTGATGGATATAGTGGTTTCATTCAAATACCAATCCATCCAAACGATCAAGAGGAGACGACCTTTACATGCCCTTATGGCACCTTCGCGTATCAAAGGATGCCATTCAGGTTGTGTAACGCACCGGCTACGTTTCAGCAGTGTATGATGTCGATCTTCTCTGATCTAATGGAAGAGATGGTAGAAGTGTTTATGGATGACTTCTCTGTATATGGTGCGTCTTTTTCTGCGTGTTTGTTGAATCTTTGCAAGGACTAAAGCGTTGTGAAGAGACGAATCTTGTTCTTAACTGGGAGAAGTGTCACTTCATGGTGAAGGAAGGGATCGTGCTTGGCCACAAGATATCAGAGAAGGGCATAGAAGTTGATAAAGCCAAGGTTGAGTTCATGATGAGTCTTGAGCCGCTGGTGAATGTCAAAGGAGTGAGGAGTTTCTTAGGCCACGCAGGCTTCTACAGGAGATTCATAAAGGATTTCTCCAAGATAGCAAGGCCCCTCACACGATTGTTATGCAAGGAAGCTGACTTGTGTTTGATGAGTATTGCCTTCGTGCTTTCGTGACCATCAAGGAAGCTCTTGTATCCGTGCCGATAGTGCAAGCACCGGACTGGACTATACCGTTCGAGATCATGTGTGACTCGAGTGACTACGCTATAGGAGCTGTTCTTGGTCAAAGGAAAGACAAACGGCTGCACATCATCTACTATGCCAGCCGGACACTAGATGACACTCAAGTAAAGTACGCTACAACAGAGAAGGAGTTGCTGGCAGTTGTATTCGCCTTTGAGAAGTTCAGGTCATACCTCGTAGGCTCTAAGGTGGTTGTGTATACAGATCACGCAGCTCTGAGGTACATTTATTCCAAGAAAGACACTAAACCAAGGCTCTTGAGATGGATCCTTTTGCTCTAAGAATTTGACATGGAAATTAAGGAGAAGAAAGGGATAGAGAACGGCGTGGCAGATCACCTCTCTAGGATGAGAATCAATGAGTCTCTGCCCTTAGATGATTCGCTTCCAGAAGAACAACTCATGATGATCACCACAGCAGTTTGTGAGAAGCTTGAAGACAAGTTTGAAGAAGTTTTGAGTTTCAAAAAAGAAGACTTGCCTTGGTACGCTGATATTGTGAACTACTTGGCATGTGGAGAGGAGCCAACTCACCTTGATCATTACCACAAGAAGAAGTTTATGAAAGATGTTGCCTATTACTTTTGGGATGAGCCATACTTATACAAGAGGGGTGTGGACAGCTTGTATAGGAGGTGTGTAACAAGGCAAGAAGCTAAGGACATACTTCTACATTGCCATGGCTCATCATACGGCGGTTATTTTGCTTCTTTCAAGACTGCTACAAAGGTGTTACAAGCGGGTTTTTGGTGGCCATCTATCTTCAAAGATGCTCACGAGTTTGTTAAGAGTTGTGAAGCGTGTCAAAGGGCAGGAAACCTCACCAAGAGAAACAAGATGCCTCAGGTTCCTATCTTTGAGGTTGATGTCTTTGACGCTTGGGGGATAGATTTTATGGGTCAATTCCCATCTTCTTACGGCCACAAGTTTATCCTAGTAGCGGTTGCTACGTATCTAAATGGGTTGAGGCCATTGCTTCCCCTACAAACGACTCTAAGGTGGTGATCAAGCTCTTTAAAACCATCATATTCCCAATATTCGGAGTCCCTAAGGTTGTGATCAGTGATGGTGGCAGCCATTTCATCAACAAGGTATTCGAGAACCTCTTAAGGAAGTATGGTGTGAAGCACAAGGTAGCTACACCTTATCACCCTCAAACGAGTGGGCAAGTAGAGGTCTCTAACCGGAAGATCAAGGCAATACTCGAGAGGACAGTAGGTACTACTCGGAAGGATTGGGCGGCTAAGCTAGATGATGCTTTGTGGGCTTACCGGACCGCTTTCAAAACCCCCATTGGTACCACTCCTTTTACTCTTCTCTACAGCAAAGGATGTCACCTCCCTGTTGAGCTGGAACATAGAGCATTGTAGGCTGTGAAGCAGTTTAACTATGATCTCAAGACAGCTCAGGAGAAGCGCTTGATTCAGCTACATGAGCTTGATGAGCTAAGGCTGGACGCCTACGAAAGCGCTAAGATCTACAAAGAGCGTACTAAGGTGGCTCATGACAAGAAGTTGGTTCATAAAGAGCTTAAGCAAGGCAGTTTGGTTCTACGCTATGACTCGAGGCTGAAGCTGTTCCCGGGGAAGCTCAAATCAAGGTGGTGCGGACCGTTTGAGATCAAGGAGGTATTGCCCTATTGAGCTGTTACGTTGGTAGGCAAGAGTGGGAATGCATTCACAGTCAACGGATGATGTTACTGCATATTGCATACATTTTGCATACACATTAGTTAGCTTTTCATGCATTTACATCACATTTTAGACTAGATTGCATCACTTAGGGTCCTAGAGCATTCTTGCACCAGCATACGCATGTTCCTTGCATTTTGCATCACATTCAGGTTGTTTCTGGCTACTTTGGAGTCGTGGAGGTTTGTGGACGTGCTGAAGCTGTTGTGGCGGTTCGTGGAAGGTCGGATGTTTGCTAAGGACCAGAGATCGGGGAACATATCGAGCATGGCAGGTCGATCTAGATGAGATCGACCAGAAGATCGAGTGAAGCAATCGATCAAACGGTACGGACGTAAATGACGTCATGCAGAGCGAGAGCCGGATCGAGTCCACCACTCGATCCAACCAAAGATCGATATCAAGATCGGATGCAAAACTCGATCCACCAAAGATGATCGAGACCCAGATCGAGTTGAAGACACGGTGTCCGAAGATGATCGAGAGAGCCGCTCGATCCCGAGGTTGATCTCACTACAAAAAAGTTAATATTGTTACAAATTTTTTTGTCATAATATATAATTTTTCCGTCACAAAAAATATTATAACGGAAATGTTACAAATTATTAAAGATCACAATAAAAACGTCACAAATCTATTTTAGTCATAAAAACGTCATAACGTAGTGTGACGATTGACAATAGTAACGATTTGTCACCATTTGTAACGATATTAAATTAGTCACAAAAACGATACAGTTTATGATAAAAAATATTATCACAATTAAATCACAAGTTATGACAAAAAATTGTCATATATTTGTAACAAATTCTTACTATATTTACGTCACTGATCTAATATAAATTATGACAAAAATAATATCATAAAATTTGTTATAACCAGTAACTAAATTTTAATCATAAAAAATAACATAATTACAACCGTATCTATACTGTGGTAACATAAGTCACAAATTCCATCGCTAATTATAAGACACGATATTTGTAATTTTGTAATGATTATATCGTGACTTTTGAAAACAAAAACAAAATAAATATATGAAACTATTTTATTATATAAAATACATATTTTGTTAAATAACAAAACAATACATAATTATATCAATACAAATAATTGACATTTGTTTAATAATATTATATTAATGACCCAAATCGGAAAATAAATAAAATTTACAAAAATGAAATCAGATCAAACCAACCGGTTTGAATCGGGAACAATAATAAAAAAAATAACTTAATCTATCATCATCCAGCGCCGACTTCCCACCACCTGCAAGCTCCAATCCGGCTACTCTCTGGATGTAACTTCGGAGACGACGGATGCTTGGTACAGCTTCATCGGCGGCGGACTTCGGAGACGGATCATTGCAAAGAAAGCTTTGACGGCTACTCTCCGGCTTGAACTCCTCCTAGATCGATGCTGCCGCTCTCAAAACAGGTACAGATGCTCCACACCTCGCTCTGTCCTCCATCCTTGTTACAGGATCAGAAAAAAAAAGTTAGATCTGAAAAAAATAAGGTGGAGAAGAAGAGAAGGGAGGAGATGAAGGGGAGAAGAAGGAGAATAAAATACTTACAGTGATCGACGTCGGTTAGAGGAAGCCCATCAAGATGAATCGATGGCGGTTTTAATGAGATGCTTCAGGGGCGAACCGAAGAAGAAGAAGAAGAAGAAGAAGAAGAAGGGGTTAAGGAGAAATAGAAGAAAAGGAGAAGATGAGTTATGAGATGGAGCGCAGAAGGAGAGGAGAAGAAGGAGAATACCAAAATTAGTTTTCCGTCAAAGAAGATAAGGAAGAAAGGGAGAAAAAAAAGGAATGATTTGTGTGTGTTAGATTTAGGTTTATTAAGGGTTGAGATTAAAAGTAATGTCTAATCCTCACCACTATAAATTAACCAATGAGAATTTATCTTTCTTATTTGTATTTTAAAAATTTAATATTATGTTTCTAAAACATATATATGATCCTAAATATTATATGCAAATAAGTCATATGATAATATATCTCATTTATAATTAATTTCATTAGTAAATTGTAATATTTAGTTTTATAATTTTAGATTTAGTTTTTATGTTTGAATGCAAAGTTGAAGTGTTGAGTTCAATATTTAGTGTTTAAGATTTAAAATTTTGGATTTAAAATTTGAGATTTTGGATATGATATTTAAAAAAATGATAAAATTTAAATATTTTTGAAACATTTTATAAATATGGATTTGAATTTTGGATATGTATATTGATTAATTATGCTTAGGGTTTAGAATTTAAAATTTAAAATATAATTTATTTTTAGAATTTTGAAGTTGGTTATAAATGTTGGAGTATATGTTGATTGTATAGAAAATTTGGACAAAGATATGCAAAATAGTGGCAAAGATAAAAATGTATGATTTTTATAAGTGTTGTAGGGTATAAGGGTTTGAAGTGGTTTATAGATTATGGTTTGAGTTAATGATACATGATTTGCATTTTGGATTTAGGGTTTGATTTTAGAATTTAGGATTTGAAGCTTTTGGTTAAGGGTTTGAATTTTGTTGTAAATATGTGTTTTACATTTAGGGTCCAAGGTTTAGATTTGGTTAAAAGTTTGAATTTTGATTAATGATTTAACTTTTGGTATACATATGTGTTTTACATTTAAGGTATAGGGTTTGAAGTTTGATGTATATATGTGTTTTATATTTAGAGTCTAGAGTTTGAATTTTGTTAAGAGTTTGAATTTTGGTGTACATATGGCTTTTATATTTAGGGTTAAGGGTTTGAATTTTGGTTAAAAGTTTAAATTTTTCTGTATATATGTGTTTTACATTTTGGTTAATGGTTTGAATTTGGTTAAGGTTTTGAAATTTGGTTAAAGATTTGAATTTTGGTGTATATATATGTTATACATTTAGGGTATAGAGTTTGAATTTGGTTAAGAGTTTGAATTTTGGTTAAAGATTTGAATTTTGGTGTACATATGTGTTTTACATTTTGGTTAAGGGTTTGAATTTTGGTTAAGAATTTGTATTTTAGATTTAGGATTTGAGTTTAAGGATTAAAGGGTTTAGTTATATTTGGTTATAACTAAATAACTATGCAAGTGTTAGAAATATTTTAAGGATTAAGTTTTAAAATTAAAATATAACTAAACATTATATTTCTAAATTAAAAATGCAAACCTTAAATTCAAAAATAGAAACCTTTAACAAAATTGTTTAGTTATATTTAATTATATTTTAATTTACCAATTCTGTTTAGTTATATTTTAATTTAAAACACAGCATTCTTATTTTTGTTATAATAGTAAGAAAAACAAAATTTAATTATACATATACTTATATACTTGAAAATATGTTGAAACTTAATCAAAATCAGTATTAGTATCAGAGTCTCGAATTGAAATTATGTTGTAACTTAATCAGATTCAGAATCAGTATCATAATCATAATCATAATTTTTTTATAATAGTAAGAAAAACAATGTTTAATTATACATAATTGCTAAAAAATTAGAGTGGTTAACCTTGCCACTGCTATTCTCATGACTAAACCGGGACTACAAGTGCCACGAAAAAACAATGATATTTGTGCGTGACTATGTTGCCCCGAATTGTTACGAAATTGTCATGTTTCTTTTTTTTTCTGTTTACATGACCTTTTCATGACCTTTTCATGACTTTTTCAGAAAAGCCACGACACAGTCATGACTCTGTCGTAGCTATAGTTTGTCGTTTCTACCTTTTTCAAGTTATTATGTATTTTTGGTTTTGTTTAAAATTGAAACTATTTTTTTTTCTAATTTACATGTGGTTTTAATCTTTGTCACGAAATAGTAACAACTATATCATAATTTATGACCACATACATAAGTTAGTAAAACAGTGTCTACTTGTGATGACATATTTACAAAACTTTTGTAACTGTGAGTGACTAAAATTTAGTTACAAAAATTGTATAGTTTAGTTACTAAAGCTGGTCGTAAGTTCGTAACAATATTTGTTACTATATATTTTGTAATAATTACGACACAATTAGTAACAATAATTTGTTACATTTGGTTTAATCATAATATTATGACGAAATAATAATGTTTTTCTGACAAATTAATTTTGTCACAAAATTATATGTAAATTATTATAATATTGTGACAAAACAATTAGTTATAATTTTTTTTGTAACAATATTAACTTTTTTTTGTAGTGTCTCTGTCCTTTCAACCGCTTTTGGCTGCTAGCAAGGGGGGGACCATCAGGTTGTTTTAGCCATTTTGGGAAGGCGGCGAAGTCCTTTTTCCACACAACTTTTCAGTCTTATTTTTTTATGCTTTTCTCTCTGGTTTTGGAGATTATCCACCATTGTCGAACTTGAAGTTTTTCTTGCTTTGTATTCGAATCGTTTGAAGTTTAATCTAGTTTCTTTTCATGTTCATCGTTTCTTTCTTTATGCTTTGCTTGATTTATCTTATGTGTAGTGAGTAGTTCATTTGGGTTCGGGGTTGAGAGGATTCAAGGGGTCAAAAGGGTTTTCGATCTTGGAGTTTTCTAGCGTTTAATGGCTATCTCTTCTAGGGTGTCGAGTTCCTAAAGCTTAAAGACTCTCACGCCAAGAGCTTTATGATCCGAGAGGTCTCTTACCTTGACAGGATTCAGAGACCTCTGAAGATCACACCCTAGAGACTAGTTACCCCTTCCCAAAAACCATGGAAGTTTGGGGGACTAGTTAAGCCATTCGTTTGAAATCTGTTTTTCCTGCCCTTCGACCTCTCTTTCCACCAAAAGCCATGGGTTTGGAGGAGAGGATGAAGGAGTGATCTATACCGAAAGCCACAGATAGATCTTATTTCGTTTTCAAGGCTTAGAGATTCTCACAAAGTGAGTCGATTTAAAGTTTTCAACCCAAGTTCGGACCTTTGAAACCCCTGACCATGAATCTCAACCCTAGACCCTCTTTCTTAGCATCTTTACATCTTCTCTCATCATTCGCTTGATCTTTGATAGCATCCTGGTCGTTAGTTTTACTGTTCTTGCATTTTTAGACGAGATCGATCGTTATTGCTCGATCTAGTGGTCGATCTTATGGTCGATCCACTAGTCGAATTTTAGTAATTCGTAGCTTTGTCCTTTAATTATTCTGTTTGTTCCTCATGGTAGTTTAATCATTCCTGGTAATATTAAAATAGTTTTGCATTCCATTTAGTTGCTGCATCTAGTTTTTAGGGATTTTCTCAAAACCGATCTTGTTTCGCTTAGATTTGCAAAGTCCTTGCATTCTCTTTGCATTTTCTATCATCCTAGGTGTGGATTGACTCTCTCTTGCATATTGTGCTACAACCTGTCTTGCATTTGAGTTTGATAGCCTCATTGCATACTCACCCTTGCAAAGAAAATAGTTATCAAATGGCGCCGTTGCCATCCTAGGATTGTTTAGAAAACATAGAGATTTGGGACTTAGTAAAGACTAAGCCTTGACCTTGTTTTAGTTACTAATCATTCTACTCTCAAACGTGTGTCTCTCAGGTACATGAATCTTCGTTCAAGGGGAGACAACAATCTACTACAACCCTTGGACAACATTCATCAACTTGGTCATTCACGGCAAAGAAGAGTACGAGAACAAGCCAGAGCCTTTGAGGAGATTGTTCAGCACGGTTTGGTTGACTTTGAAGCTATGGCTGAACACGAGCAACCAGAGGGACCTCCTCCAGCTCACGGGGCAGTGGGAAGGGGCAATGGAAACCCCCAACACGCGGCTAGACCCCCAAGGATCATAGGAGCCGGAGATGCTCCCAATACTCATCACAATAGGTTTGGGATCACTCCTCCTCCTGTACAAAACAACAACTTCCAGATTAAGCCAGGTTTCATCTCCATGGTGCAAAACAACAAGTTCCACGACTTAGCAATGGAAGATCCCTTGGAGCAACTTGACAACTTCGAGCAAGTATGTGGGATGATCAAGATAAACGGCATATCCGAAGATGCTTTCAAGCTGCGTCTCTTTCCCTTTTCACTCGGAGACAAGGCTAGGCATTAGGAGAAGACCCTCCCACAAGGCACCATCACCTCATGGGCCGAGTGTAAGAAGGCCTTCCTCTCAAAATTCTTCTCTAGCACCAGGACAGCACGATTGAGAAGCGAAATCAGCGGCTCACTCAACGAAACAACGAGACATTCAACGAGGCAATGGAACGTTTCAAAGACTACACGATCCAATGTCCTCATCACGGTTTCAGCGAGGAGACCCTACTCAGCCCCATCTACCGCGGAGCTTCACCAAAGATCAGGTTGTTGCTTGACACAGCTAGCAAAGGGAACTTCCTTGGTCAGGAGGTAGAAGAGGGCATGGAGCTGATAGAAAACTTGGCATTGAGTGATGGCAACTACGCTGAGGATTATGACCGTGCACCGATAGGATCCGAGCTAGAGTCTCACAAAAAAGAGCTGAAATCTTTGCATGAGAAGATAGATAAGCTGGTGTTAGCCAATCAGAAGCATGTTCACTTTGTTGGTGAAGCGGATGAGAATCAAGAGGAGCTTGAGTTGAGCCAGGAAGAAGCCAATTGGGTGGCAGGACAGAACAATTACAAACCTCAAGGCTACAACCAAGGCTACAACCAGAACAACAATCTCTCCTACCGTAGTACCAACGTTGCCAACCCTAAGGACCAAGTGTACCCTGCTCAGCAAGCAAAACCTTTCACCCCTTACAACAAAGGTTTTCAGCCGAGTGGTGGTTTCCAAGGTCAAGGGCAGAATAACTTCCAAGGGCAACATCAAGGTAACAAGGGTTATACGCCAAACTACCCTCTGGGCTTTGCACCTCAGCAGCAACAGCCGATGCAACAACAGGTTGATCCGGTTCACGCCATGTTTCAGCAGCTGATACAAGGGCAAGCCTCAACAAACCAGAAGTTCGCCAAGATAAACACTCATCTAGACTCGTCTCTCACTGACTTCTCCACTCAGATCACCAACTTAAACAACAAGATCAAGCAGCTAGAGAAGGGGAAAGCGAGTACAAGTGGTCAGAATAGCCTACCGGGCAAGTGTGAGCAGAATCCTAAGGAATATGCCAACGCCATCACGTTAAGAAGCGGTAAAGAGCTAGAACCTCCGGTTACTCCTAAGAACAACGAGGACGTTGTAATTCAAGAGGGGGAGGGTAAGCCTTCAGCTGATGATGAGATTAACTTTGACAATGTCTGGATCCAAGGGCCAAGAAGAGGAGACAAAACAGATGCTGAGTAGAAAGCAGAGCAAACTACTAAGGAGAAGAATGCTTATGTACCTCCACCGTATGTACCCAAGCTGCCTTTTCCTGGCCGTTTCACGAAGCAACTCATAGAGAAGCATAGAATCCTCTTCGAGAAGCATCTTAAGGACGTGGAGATCAAGCTACCTCTCGTTGACTACCTTGCAATGATGCCTAAATGCGCCAAATTCTTCAAAGACACTCTCGTGAAGAAGAATAAGGAAAGCAAGGAGGTGCTTGTTCTAAGTGAAGAGTGTAGTGTTGTGATACATAAGGAGATAGTCCCTAAGAAGTTGGGAGACCCTGGAAGCTTCACTATACCCTGCGCTTTAGGTCCTCTGGAGTTCAAGAGTTGCCTTTGTGATCTCGGAGCTAGCATAAACTTGATGCCTCATTCCGTGGCGAAGAAGCTTGGCTTTACTCGTTTCAAAGACTGTAGGATCTCGTTGGTACTGGCTGATAGGAGTGTGAGGCTACCAGTGGGGCTGCTTGAAGATCTACCGGTGCGAATCAGGGGTGTGAACGTGCCTACAGACTTCGTCGTGTTGGAAATGGATGAAGAGCCTAAGGATCCACTCATCCTAGGAAGGCCATTCCTTGCAACCGCCGAGGCTATCATCGACATCAAGAATGGGAAGATTGCCTTGCATTTGGGAAAGGATATAAGGCTGGACTTCGATATCAATGAGGTTCTGAAGAAGCCGACCATAGAAGGGCAAGCTTTCTACATTGAAACAATGGATGCCTTAGCGGATGAGTTGCTAGAAGAACTCGCTCAGGAGGACCATCTGAAGCTGGCACTGACAAAGGAGCCAGGAGAGTTTGGCTATGTGGATCAAAGGACCCACGAGTACGTCAACTTGCTGGATTCTAGGAAGATTGTTAAGAAGGATGAAGGCTGCTGCCTAGAGATCGACCCCGAGATCGACCTATCACTCGATCCAGGAGTCAGATCGACAAGGCAATCGAGAACACAACTCGATCCGGTGCAGAAATCGACAGACAGATCGAGAGGAATGATCGATCCAGAAAAACAATCGAGTCGACGATCGAGAGAGACCTTCCGATCATTTTGGGGTCCAATCAGGAGATCGACTCAGCATCTCGATCCCTTACTCGATCAACATCAAATCGAGTAAGTGAATCAAGCGAAACTGCTCGATGTAGACGACATCGAGAGCAAGATCGACTGGAGGACTCGATTTCAGAAGGGATAGCGGTTGAGGAAAGCAGTCTTAAGGACCATGCCTCGGGTTCTAAGGAGGGTTCCAAGGAGGAAAGCAACAACAACAGCCACGAGGATGA